AACTCCTGCTAGTTAATTGATTAGCGATCTCTGAGTTGCTGCTCTATTTGACATGGCACCTGATGACTAATTTACAATTTTTAGTTCCCTGTCATTTTGCTTTATTTGACGTTTGATGCATTGCGAGTTCCCTCTTACGTCATACTCAGGGGATTCCATTCATACTCAGTATATATATGTATATGAGTATACCATATTTCGATGGTACTACATTTTAGCTTGTTTATTGAGCCCAAGAGCATAATTTATTTAAGTCCATATGTCATACAAGCAAGAAACTATGCATGTAACCACAGGTCAAGAGCTTGTTGCAAAAGTTTGTGACGCTATTTGCGAATGTTCGTTTGAGCTATGGTTTTGGGAAACACCAAATCGTTGAACTATGTTGGTAACAATGGAATTTGCGACCATAGTTGGCAAATTATGCTTTTGGGAAACGCACCCCTGGTTCATGTGTGCACACGCTCTTCCTGGAGAAGTGCCCATACAAGGAATTCCACCCTTATACGAACCCTTAAGGAGTGTATTTGGCACAGAAATACTCTGTCATACGTCCAACTCATTTTGTTTTAAATTTTGACCATGTTTAGCATGAGAATTATGGAGGACCAAACCTGCAGAAATTAAAAATAAATAAATACACAAATAAATAAATAAATAAATAAATAAATGGGTGTTTAAATAAATAAATACACAAATAAATAAATAAATGTGTGTATAAATACAGGTATTCTTGTTTAAATATGTATATAAATAATTAAATGGGCCAAATGGAAAATGTTTAAGGAAATACTAAACTCATCCTAACTGTTTTCTTTTAATCACTCATTTATTTCTGAATGTAGTTCCGCATTTATTTTTCCTCTGCACAACATGCTAATGAGAGGGTGTCAACCATGGACTTGCGTCTGCTTGTATGTATAATGCATGCGGTTCTGATTCAGGTCTGTTTTGCTTGGGGACCAGGTGGAAAGTTTGATCAGTTGTGTTTCATTTCCCTCTGGGCCACTACAAAAGGCTCTGCTTGTGTATCTAGGGGACTGTGAACGTAATTGCAGAGATACAGAGGCCCCTCTCCCCCCACATGCGTCTATGTCTCATTAGGTTTATGTTTTTTTCACACCACTTATTAATGATGAGAGTCCAGAGAGAAATAGCAAGAGAGGTTTCTAAGATTACATAAGATGCACCGCATGCGTTTTGTTTTTTTTATTGTGGTAGGTGGTTAATGAGCTCGACCCACTACAATCCCCCTGACAGGATTAACCTCATCCCTCGATTCCTCAAAACGCTTCTTTCTTCTCCTCTCCTCGTTTCCTCCTCCAGTACAAATGCTTTCGCACCTCCCCACTTCATTCCAGTAATTGCTTAGATATTATCTATTAAACTTTGTCTTGAAGGAGAGGTTAAGACAACAGTCTATGCCTAGTAATATGAAGGAGGTTTTATGCATGTTTATGACAACTGTCATTAAGTGTCATTTGCTCAGTTATGTCATTTTTAATGCAAATATGACATTATTTGACCTAACCCTACCCCTACCCTTACCCCTAACCATAGCCCATAACAAAGACATCTCAAACAATGTCATCTTTGCATTAAAAATTACATAACTGAGCGAATGACACTTAATGACAGTTGTCATAAACATGCATAAAAAAACCTTCATATTCATGTTATGTGTCATGTCATGATTATGAAGCTGTCATGTCAGTCTTATGCACACCCCTTCAAGTAAAGTGTAACCATATATTTTTTTTCTTTTCTTTTCTTTTCTTTAAGCTTAGCTGCACATTTGCTGTCCAGACAATACTTGTTCTATATTACCGTTAAAAAGTTTGGGAATTGGTAAGACTTTTTATTGTTTTTGAAAAGTGTCTTATGCTCACCAAGTTTCCATTTATTTGATCAAAACTCAGAAAAAAACAGCAATATTGTGAAATATTATTACAATGTAAAATAACAGTTTTCTATTTGAATATATTTTAATATATGGTAAAGCTGAATTTTCAGCATCATTACTCCAGTCTTCAGTGTCACATGATCCTTCAGAAATCATTCTGATATGCTGATTTGCTGCTCAAGAATAATTTATTATTATTATCATAGTTGGAAACAGTTGTGCTCATTAATATTTTATGCGGCAACTGTGACACATGTTTTAGTATTCTTTGATGAAAAGTTCTTCCCAAACTTTTGAATGGTAGTGTAAATTATGACATTACATTAATTCAAGATATTTAAGTGTTCAACTCTATTTTTCTGATGTCAGAAAGTTGCCAAAATAGACATATACAGTATGTATGTATGTATATATATATATATATATATATACACACACACACACACACACACACACACACATATATATATATATGTTACACATGCATTGACCCTGAGTTTGTTGTTCCCATCATTACATGCATTATTGCAAACCTAGTTCAGCCATTCCCCGCTTGCTAGCTAAAGTTAAAAGACTAATTTGCCAATTACAGCAGCTGGCCTGATACTGCTGATTCAGATATCATGGGATTTAAATGAATTCTACATACACACGCACAATCCTACTCTGAAATAAAACAATGGGGAAAAGCGAGGATGCTGAGTCTTTTATGTACATTTGTCTTTTCTCTTGTATGCTAAATAAAACTTCATTGATGAAGAGTAACTTCATAATATACACAAGTGCAGTGATCCAGCCACTATAACTCATATTGACTAAGTGTCTGTGTAGTTTCTCAGATTTACTCGTGTCTGGCTATGGATCTGAAAATATGGCTTTCTATACATTACCCCCACAGCTTTTGGTCCAATCTTTTGCTATTTTCTTTGTAGTCTTGTGTAACGACTTTTTTTTCTAACCACTGTTAGAATGCTTTTAGATACAGTATATAAACATGAAGAGACAAACTAACAATATTTTTGATTCAGTTTAGATTTATCTTTAAACCACTTTTCACAATAAATATTATTCCAAAGCACCCTATTAAAAATGGTTACATATTATTTTAAAGTAACATAGTTACGTTACATGTACTTACTATAGTAATAACAGTAAATTATGCATAATTACAGGCAACTAATCCTAAACCAAATATTAAAGCTAATCTTAACCCTAGAGTAATGTAGTTAATTAATATTACTCAGTACTTATTTATGTAATTACAATGTAACAACATCACCTTAAAATAAAGTGTTAACATATTGCATTAAACATATAATATTTATTTTTAAGAATAAATGCACCAATTGTTGCAGTCCAGTGCTTTAAAAGTAAAGAATCTTTTTTTAAATTTAGTAAATCAATCAATCAATAAAAGTGAGCCAATCAGATTGGAGTTTGTAGTATTGCTTTTCTAAAATGCAGCTACATTTTTCATGTACCAATTTATAATGTGTGATAAATGTGTGATATTAAAAGAGTATATAATTTTTTACCCACTGCTAGAATGCTGTTAGATAAACATGAATTAATTCAATTCAGATTAATCCCTTTCACAATATATGTGACCCTGGAGCACAAAACCAGTCTTAAGTCACTGGGATATATTTGTAGCAATAGCCAAAAAAACATTGTATGGGTCAAAATTATTGATTTTTCTTTGATGCCAAAAATCATTAGGATATTAAGTAAAGATCATGTTCCATGAAGATAATTTGTACATTTCCTACTGTAAATATATTAAAACTTAACTTTTGATTAGTAATATGCATTGCTAAGAACTTCATTTGGACAATTTAGATTCAGATTAATCCCTTTCACAATATATGTGACCCTGGAGCACAAAATCAGTCTTAAGTCGCTGGGGTATATTTGTAGCAATAGCCAAAAAAACATTGTATGGGTCAAAATTATTGATTTTTCTTTTATGCCACAAATCATTAGGATATTAAGTAAAGATCATGTTCCATGAAGATAATTTGTACATTTCCTACTGTAAATATATTAAAACTTAACTTTTGATTAGTAATATGCATTGCTAAGAACTTCATTTGGACAATTTAAAGGCGATTTTCTCCATATTTAGATTTTTTTCGCACCCTCAGATTTTCAAATAGTTGTATCTCGGTCAAATATTGACAAAACGGGTGTACTATATAGCATGATATTGCATTTACTTGTTCCTAAAGTAAGTGTTTAAACTAATAATTGGATAGCACAAATGGCCAAAATCAGCAAAAGCACCAGTTGCAGCAGCAATAAAAAATATTTTATTTTGGAAATTGTAAAAAAAAAAAAAAAGTATTGCAAACACTCTTATTTCTGTAGCTCAAATGATAGTGTAAGTGCAATATCATTAAAATCATGGGTTTATCCTGCTGATATTATACCTTAAATACACTGGATACAACCATCCTCAAATTGAACTTTTGATTAGTAATATGCATTGCTAAGAACTTCATTTGGACAATTTAAAGGCGATTTTCTCCATATTTAGATTTTTTTCGCACCCTCAGATTTTCAAATAGTTGTATCTCGGTCAAATATTGACAAAACGGGTGTACTATATAGCAGGATATTGCATTTACTTGTTCCTAAAGTAAGTGTTTAAACTAATAATTGGATGGCACAAATGGCCAAAATCAGCAAAAGCACCAGTTGCAGCAACAATAAAAACTATTTTATTTTGGAAATTGTAAAAAAAAAAAAAAAGTATTGCAAACACTCTTATTTCTGTAGCTCAAATGATAGTGTAAGTGCAATATCATTAAAATCATGGGTTTATCCTGCTGATATTATACCTTAAATACACTGGATACAACCATCCTCAAATTGCAATTTTGTCTTTTTGGGTGCATTACGCATCAGACAGTGCTGGACTATCCATGGGTGTCTCTTCTGATGGTGAGACTGTCCTCTTTGAGCTCAGTGTCTTTAGCGGTACAACAGACAGAGAAGTGCGTGTACTACGATAGTCCTGCTGTTTTTCATATCTGTGCTGTCTGTGAATCATGAATCATCCTTTGATACTCACCCTTCCGTGCCTCTCTGCTCCTAGGGAACTAATGCCCAAAACTCAGGAGGGTCAGCTGACTATGGAGAAGACACCAAGCTACTTTGTAACCAAGGAGGTTCCAGGCCGGATCCACGCCATGTTCAAGGGCACTAAGCTGATAGTTGTGGTTAGAGACCCAGTAACCCGGGCGATCTCAGACTACACGCAGACCCGCTCAAAGAAACCCGACATCCCGTCCTTTGAGAGCTTGACTTTCAAAAACATCACAGCGAATCTAATAGACACCTCGTGGAGCGCGGTGCAGATCGGCATGTACGCCAGGCATCTGGAGCAGTGGCTGCAGTTCTTCCCCATGAGCCAGTTGTTGTTTGTGAGCGGGGAGCGTCTGATTAGCGACCCGGCCGGGGAAATGGCCCGCGTACAGCAATTCCTGGGCCTGAGGAGGGAGGTCACAGACAAACACTTTCACTTTAACCCCGCCAAGGGCTTCCCTTGCCTCAAAAGACCTGAAAGCAACAGCAAACCACACTGCCTCGGCAAAACTAAAGGCCGCACGCATCCAAACATAAATCCTGATGTGATTCAAAGACTGCGAGACTTCTACAAGCCATTTAACAAAAAGTTCTACCATATGACCGGCCATGACTTTGGCTGGGACTGATTTTTCATTTTGTTTTTGGGAACACGTTTTTGGAAAATAATTAATTGTAAAAAGTATAGAACTCTATTTTATAATAATTTATTGAAAATAATATACTCACTCGGCTGCCTATCTGTTGTTGTACGTACTGCAATTTTCTACCTTTTATATTCCGGTCAAACCTGTAAGCTTGATATTTTGTCTTTTTTAATAGGAAAAAAACTGATTTGACGTAGGAATTTAGGAGAGGGATGCTTGACAAAGGAAAATAGCACAATGAAACTAATTACGGGTATTTGATGAGTCATGGAAAACATTTCTCTGTTGAGTTGCGTAACAGGCCCTAATTTTTGCTTTAGTAAACATTATCTACTGTTTTCCAGCATACCATCCTTCATTTTAAAGGCTCGTTATTTTGTCTCGGCTGTTCCAAAGCCATTTTGTGGATCAATACACATAAAGCTATACGACGTGTCAATTATGGCAGAAAAATTAAGTTTGGGACACCAGCTGTTTAACTTCATTTAAGAAAATGTTATTTTCTACATCAGCATTACACACGGGAAGTCCTTGAAGACCAGCCCAATCTCACGGCAATTCATACATATTTTATGTGGCTAATTCGTACGACCTCACTCGTACAAATTTATATGATTTGTGCTAAATCGTACGTATTTTACGAGTTGCACAATTCATATGAATTTGTATGAATGACCTACACCTGCGCTTAAACCTACCCGTCACTGGGGTCTAGACAAATCGTACGAGTGAGGACGTACGAATTCGTATGAATTAGCCACCTCGTAAAATACGTACGAATTGGTCGTGAGTTAGCGTTGTGAAGACAGATACTTTAACTGTGATTGATTCTCTGTTACAAAAGTCTGAGACTGTATTTATAATTCTCAAGAAGAGAAAGGCAATGCAATGCAGCTAGACAGAAAGGTTCACACATCGCTTTCTATATAATTACTTCATGTTACTGTAAGACTTTGCATGAAACATGTCATAAAATGTTTTTTTTTTTAAAGAATCTAAAGTCTAAGGGCCTTTTCAGTATGAATATGAAATGGAGAAGTTCAGTTAACTCATTTCATACCTCACAAGAATTACAAAAAGGGAAAGTGAAATTTCCCTGGTCATGATTATTGTTCATACATCAGTGGTTGAGTTTTATTCAACCCTTATTATGTACTTTCAAATGCTGTTGTTTTTATAATCCAATGAAAATTAGTTCAAAATTATTGTACGGTTGTTTCTTTCCAACTTCAAACCAAACAGTCCTGTCAGAGGTACGAGACACAGAGTATTTCTGTGCTGTGATGAAATAAATCTATTTTTTACCAGAGCTTAACATGTCTTATATTCTAGTGTTTACTGATGCAAGTAGAGTTTTTCATGGTTTCCACAAAAAAAAAAAGAAATGTTAAGTAGCAAAACTCTTTTCAACATTGATAATAATAATAATAAACTTCTTGAGCATCAAATCAGCATATTAGACTGATTTCTGAAGGATCATGTGACACATATTTTAACATAAAAAGTTGTTTTATGTTTTATGCAAGTATTTTTGATCAAATAATAAATAATTCTTTAAAATATATATATATATTTGAAAAGTTGACTCCAATGTTTCAACTGGTAGTGTAGAGTATATTATATTACAGTGTATTTTTACTTAATGTTACTTAAAATAATGAGAGAGGAATAATTTCTAAAGAAACATTGATTCATTTATTAGCAAATATATTCATATTTCATTGTACATACACTGATCTGTTGTGCATGGAAGAATGTTTCCATACACAACAAATTAATTCCAACTTTTGATCTCACAATTCTGATTTTTGCAAATCTGAGTTTACATCTAGCCTTTTTTTTAATTCTTCATTTACATCTCACAATTCAGATTTCTTTCCTCACAACTGCTTGTTATGAACTCATAACTGTAAGTTTACATCTCACAATTTTGACTTTTTTTCAGAATTCATAGTTTGAATCTCACAATTTGTTTTTATTTCAGAATTCTCAGATTACTTCTTATAATTCTGTACCTCAGAACTGCGAAATAAAAGTGGCAATTACATTTTTATTATTCCATAGTGGAAGCAATCTTCCACAGTAATATATAGCATTGCATTTATATAACATGTGCTATAGACTTAACCCAAATGAAAGTCATTACAGTGATGTTTATCAGTGACCTATACTCCATTTCCTGCTAAATGATGAACAGCAATTGAAATGAACATTTGTTTGTCATTTGTTAATCACCACTGTCAGAAAAAGAGCAATTGGATGTAATAGGAGTTTGCCAGTTTGGATTTCTTCAATCTGTACTGTTTCAACAGTCAGATTGTGAGACCAGCCACAATATTACCACCAATCCAACTACGTTTTTTCAACCTGATGAGCTGTTTTCTGGGGCTTCGGGAGAAAGCATAGCCTCTAACACTTGTTGTTTGGTCACAGGAGACCATTTGAAGGGTGGAGATGGTTCCCTTGGGCTCCTGAAACAGCACCTGCTGTTAACTGGCACATCATGGCCACTGTAACCTTGGTGATCCAAGAGAAATTAGAGCCTTGCAAACACTTAAATAATTCCCTGTTCCTTTATTTCAAACACGTTCAACGCAACTGTAAAATGAAAGCAGCTTCAGTGTGTTCATGCATTGACAAGCCTGACAAACTCTTCACTTCACAACTTCAATCAAGATGACGGGTTACCCTTGAGGCAGTCATGCCCGTCCTCTTTAGTCCCACGATTTTATGTGATCAACAAAGCAGTGATTACCTCCATCTATTATCAGGCAATCTTTAACGGCTTACAAATGGCCCTCGTTTAGCTGTTAGCGCGACATAAAAGAAGCCCCTGGCGATAGCGGGATGCCAGGCAGAACTCGTGAAGAAGCACCCTCTCAGCAATTATACATGGAGAAGGTAGACACAAACTGTAAAAGCTTTCTCCCAGCTGGGGGATTGTTGTTTGCACAGATAACCGCAGGCTGAAAAGTGCTAAGCTGCTGTTGTTTGACGGGTGAGAAAAACAGAGAGCAGACACCTGACAATCCACAACATGACTGAGCCAACAAGACCTGCTGCTATTTGAGGGAATAACACAGTAAAACTGCCCCAAAACACCCCGTTCTGGAAATGTTATGTAACAGGGTGTGGATTATTTTTATTCAGGGACATATGTTTTATGAAATGTCTGCCTCTCATCAGAATTTGTAATCATTAACATTTACATGTTTGTATGTTTGGATATACACTATTGATCAAAAGTTAGTTATGTTTTTGAAAGAAGTCTCACCAAGGCTGCATTTATTTGATCAAAAATACAGTACAAACAGTAATATTGTAAAATATTACTACAATTGAACGTTCCATTTTCTATTTGTATATATTTTAAAATGTAATGTATTCCTGTGATGCAAAGCTGATTTTCATTTTCTTAGTGTCACATGATCCTTCAGAAATCATTCTAATATGCTTTGCTGCTCAAGAAACATTTCTCATTATTTTCAATGTTCAAAGGAAAAGCATATAATAATTCCATATGCACTATGATGGAGAGATTACATGAGCCCAGAGACAGCCACCTTTTCCTATAGACAGACCGAAAAGGTTTTAAGTCGACTTTGGCCAACTAAGGAATCTATAAACTGGCTTTGAACATAGCCAACCTAAACACTTGTGCTGTCTGGGATACTTGGAGACACATGGTATAAAAGTCAACATTATTAAGAGCATTAAATAATAACATATGTAGTTCATATGCAAATATTCCCTGAAGTGTATTGAGTGAAAACCTGCATGGCTCAAAAATTGTCATGAATGAACAAATATTTCCGTTTTCAGACATATATAATAAGACTATTCCAGTGACTGTGGCTATTTATCATTACAGATTCAACCACTTGTAATATGCTCTGGATTCTTAAATATGGCATGTGGAGGAAATGGTGTTGAGTGTTTAAAGCTGCTGTATGTCACTCTTTTATATTTTAAAATACTCCTTCATATCTAAGTGTATTTTAGATACAATCTATGAAAGCTATCCATTAACATTCACATTTGGGACCCCCCAAAATATGCCATCTTTGATTATAGGTGCTCAATTCTTGTCATTACTTTAACCAGAGCCATAAATGTAATGTGACTAATTACTCTCAAAGCTTTCCAGAGCCTTCCCAATACAAACTGATCAATGGTAAATATCTACCATGATATATTTAATTAATATATTATAATAATATCAATAAATAATTTGTGTGGCTCAGAAATCATTTTAATTCCGAAAAACACACAGTGTGCTTAATGGAAGCCAATAGGAGGAGAATTTTTACTGTTATTTTGCTGTATTATTTATTTATTTTAATATTTCGGTGGCACTCGTTTCATGAACAGTAAGTGGCTCTACAGTATATGTTCAATTAAACTTTTTTAATTTAGTTTGAGTGTTATCCTATTTGGGCTGAATGTGCTTAGTAAAACCCCATTATAAAACTTTTTAAAACAAATTAAAACTTGGCTTGGTAATGAGCATGCTATTCTTCACAGAGGTTAAATCCCTTTTGTTTTAGAAGCCTTTAAACTGTTCAAGCCCTTGTATGCTGGGTAAAGCACTTGACTTTCCTAATACCAGCCATGCCAGAGTTGTAGGCTTTAGGCTTTAGCAAATAAGATTAGTGAATTTTACATATGGTTCTCAACATGGGCCCTAATCCGAGTTTGCGAGTGGGCTGGATTTCCCTGCTATAAAAATGTCTTCATTGCTGACAGTATAAGTTGTATATAAATAGACGGTATTACTTAACCATGAAAAATTAGATTTGCTTTATTCACATTTAATCCGTATATGCAGCAGCACTTGTAAATAGAGTAATATGAGAAGACATGAAGAGATCATCTTTCAAAGAGATATTCTTTTGATGAATATCAACCATTGACTAGTTGACATTTAATTGTTTCTTTTCTTTAGCAAAAGATGCACCGATGCATTTTACAAGTGAAAACTTTCAACTAGGTTCCCTGCAAAGATTGTGCCAACTTGGATGGAGCAAGATGAAGCATTCCTGAGCTCCTAACAGAAGTACAACAAGCCTCATTTGGTAAAGATGGGAAATCACCATTCCCACATTAGTAGCAGATGGTAATATGTATCCTCTGCTGGCATCAGCCCTAAAATAAGCCCAAACTCAGCTCAAGGGGACAAAAAGAGATGAAGATCCTCTATTTACACTATAGTACTGTGACCTTGACCCAGTGTCATCCTCACAATCATAGTAATGGGGCATGAGGACCCCCAGTGGGATTACAATGACCTCTCTGTTGTCTGTCCTTGTTATCAGTACCATCTACAACCAAAGTGTAACCGGGCTTTAAGCATCAAGAAATGTAAAGGAGCTCACCGTGTCTGAGGTACGGTGGGTCAACCAGCTTGGCTCTTAGAGATAAGGATGGTTATATCGTCCTCTCTTTTTATATCTTTTTATAATGCTCAATCTGTCTCTTTGATGTCACCATAAATTAAGCTTTATCCACACCCATCCACAATCCATTTTTTGTATTTATGTGTGAGGACAACATACATTTTTTTCCATATCTCCCGGAGAACTACTAAGAACTATATACAGGTTCGTAATTAATGTGAAAAATGCAAAATGTATAATTAATTCTAAAGTGAAGTTCATAGTAACTCACTAGCAATGACTCAAATATTACCAAACCCTAATTATTTGGATCAGTATTCTAAAGTGAAAAGCATGATAACTCCCTAATAGTGACTGAAGTCATTGTAAGCTTTTGAGGTAAGCTTTTGGATAGTAATGACTTATGTGTTACTACATCCTTCTAAAGGATAAAAATAATACTAATTATTTGGATCAGTATTCTAAATTGAAAAACATGGTAACCCACTAAAAATGACTCAAGTGTTACCAACTCCATCAGAAGGAATTACAATCCAGAACCTTACAAACAACCTCAAAAGTTCATAATGATTTCAGTCATTACTAATGGGTTACCCATGATCTTCACTTTAGAATACTGATCCAAATAATTAGTCATTCCTTCTGAAGGATTCATTAGTCTAGTGGGTTACTATGTCACTTTAGAATTAATTATACATTATTTATATTAATTAAGGACCTGTATATAGTTGTTCTCTGGTAGATATGAAAAAATAGTAGTTACTGGTTAGCTAGTCTCATCCTCAAACTTCCCGCCCACTGACTGTTTGCTGAACGTCTGATGCATACAGCACACAAAAGTGGAAACACTTCAGGAGTTTCGAAGTCGTCATCGGATTGGTTGAATTATACAGGATTTCCGTAAGACGC